TTGAGGAAAAACTAATCATGTGCTTTGAGTTGTGTTTTACAAAAAACCAGTCACCAAATGAGAAAGGCCTGAACAATTGATGCCAGTATCCAGTAATAGACCAGCCCAGACCAGAAGAGAAACCCTGAAAACCAGAACTGTGATTGTGACCTAAAGACCAAGAATAAAAACCAAACCAATCCTGATGCTGACACTGATTCTTCTACAAGAAAATAAATGCTCTGAAGAATAAACAAGGACTATATACAAATATGTATATGTGTATATATGCACAGAATATAAATGAACGCGAAATATAAGTTTTACGTAAAAATAGTATGAAATAAAGAGTGGAGAATGTGATGGTTTTAGTCTAGGCCTTCCTTGGTGACCAGTTTATAACCAAGGAAGGAGCCAAGTACCCAGTATTCCATACAATTTTTACGTAAACCAGAGTATAAATAAGTCGGAGATTAGAGACCTCGCTCTCTTCTCTTCCGGCGAGGTTTGGGAACAGTGGGTCTCTGCGTTGGTCTCGCTTATCTAAGGCTGAGGCCTGCAGAGTCCACTGTCCTGCCACGTGGAGGTTTAGAAAGTGCTGGCTGTGACTGCCGATCCTGCTATTCTAAGGGACGTGGTGAGATCTGTTTTGTTAGTTATTAGTATAGTTTGATCTAGTATACCTATTCGGTGTCCCTTTTGTTCCCTTTCGTCCCCTTTTTTCCCCTTTCCCTGTCCCTTCGGGAGGTGGACCCCCTTTTACTGTGTATATAGCATCTTAACTGTACATAATTGAAATTTACGAAAATATAGATATATTTTTATATAAGCAGCTTGACTGTGGGTTCTTTAATTTTTATAATTTCTTTCTCCTTTAACCTAAGGGAAAAAAGAAGGGAGAGAAAGGGAGCTACTGTCCTAACTTTCGGACATTTGGCAAAAAGCCAAGTCCAAACCGTCACAACTAGGTTTGAAGGGGAAAGGGATTGAAACCAAGATCTCCAGAGACAAGCCTAAGAGTGGAAAACCAGAGTTAGAAGTGATATCAGCAGCCCAGTTGGAAGCCATGGTGCAGCAAGAAAGTTATGATGTAGTTGCCATCACAGAAACGTGGTGGGATGACTCACATGACTGGAGTACTGCCATGGATGGTTACAAGCTCTTCAGAAGGGACAGGCAAGGTGGGAGAGGTGGAGGGGTGGCTCTGTATGTTAGAGAGTCTCTTGACTCTGTAGAACTTGAAGTCAGTAACAATAAGGCTGAAAGCCTATGGATCAGAATTAAGGGGAAAGCCAACAAGGCGGACATTCCGGTGGGAGTCTTTTATAGATCATCCAACCAGGATGATGAATTATTCTTCAAACAACTGGCAGATGTCTCAAAATTGCCAACCCTTGTTCTCGTTGGTGACTTTAACCTCCTGGATGTCTGCTGGGAACTCCACACAGTGGAGAAGAGGCAGTCTAGGAGATTCCTAGAGTGTATAGAGGATAATTTCCTGCTCCAGCTGGTAAATGAGCCTACCAGAGATGGGGCCCCACTAGACCTACTGTTACCAAAGAGAGAGGGGTTGGTAGGAGATGTAGTGGTTGGAGGCCATCTGGGGCACAGTGACCATGAAATAATAAGAGTTTTCAATACTCAGGGATACAAGAAGGGTCATCAAAAACCCTCTACACTGGACTTCAGGAGGGCAGATTTTGGCTTACTCAGAAGACTGGTTCAGATTGTACCCTGGGAAACAGCCCTTGAAAACAAAGGGGTCCAGGAGGGATGGAAATGTTTCAAGAAGCAAGTCTTGAACACACAGGAGCAGAAAAACCTCCATTCTTTGTTGGACATGGGGAGGAACATAGTCACCAAAGATGAGGAAAATGCTGAGGTACTTAACACCTTCTTTGCATTAATTTTCAGCAGTGAGACAGGTTGTCCTCAGGACACCTGGCTTCTGGAACTGGTAGAAAGAGACACGAAGCCGAATAGCCCTTCTGTAATCCATGAGGGACAGTTTGTGACCTTGTCATTGTTTTGCTGGTTCTTAGAAACAAAGCAGCAATTTTTCCCTTCCCCCTGCCCACTGCGTGGAGGAAATGTTTAAATGGGCAGTTAAGGAACACAAAAGAAGCTGCTGGTAAGGCCACATTTCTAGTTAATGGCCCTCAGAATCTTGCTTTTGGGGAAGGGGGAGGAGTTCCTTTTTATTTTTTTTTTTTTTCCCCTCTCGTCTCCTGAGAAATGGGGGAGAGGAGTTCAGGTGGCTGTTAAAGCTGGAACAAGATCAGAGTAAGAGCTCAGAGTAAGAGCTCGGAGTGGGTTTTGTTTTCAGTCTGGCTGTCAGCTGTGGATTCTGCTTGGATTTTCATTGGATAGGAACTGTTTTGGGAGGTTTTTCCCCTTCCCCATTCCCGTTTGTTTCTTTCTTAGCAGTGGTTCTTGTGCACATCAAAGGGAGAGGGAAAAACTATACCGCACGATTTGGTCAGCAGGACAGAATGAGTTTTTCCCATTGGGGAGGACTTTTTTTGTTGTTTCTCTCCCTTCTCTCTCTCCCCTTTCCCAGTGTGGGGGGGAGGGAAACCCATATTCGGTTTCTCCAACACACCCTGAAGTGTCTTCCCCCACATAGCAACAACCAGTTATCCCACAGTGCCCTCTGCCGACCAGCATGCAACACTGCATGCTCTGCATCTCCAGTGATCCAACACACCCCCTGTTGATTGTGGTCAGAATTGCACCAAAGGGCACAAACTGAACTATTTAGCTTTTTTTTCCTGTGCTTGTTTATTGGTTTGCTTTAAAGAAGATTATTTGTGTGTATAGGAGTATTGTTTGTTTGTCTTACTTGTTTTCTTTTGTTGTTTCTGTCAATACACATATATCTTTTAATAAAGGGCTGTTATTTTTCCTTTTTCCACATTTTTTTTCTCTTCAATCGGAGCCCCTTAATTTCGGATTTACAATTGCTTAGAGGGAGGAGTTTGGGTCTTCCTCATAATTCATCCTCAGCAAAACACCTGTGTCTCATTTAAACTGAGACAGACCTGTTGACCCACTTGGATCCTCAGAAGTCCATGGGACCAGATGAGATCCATCCTAGGGTGATGAGAGCTGGCGGAAGAGCTCACCAAGCTGCTCTCCATCATCTACCAACAGTCCCGACTCTCTGGGGAGGTCCCAGATGATTGGAAGTTGGCGAATGTCACGCCAATCCACAAAAAGGGCTGCAAGGAGGACCTGGGAAACTACAGGCCTGTCAGCCTGACCTCAGTGCCTGGCACAGTCATGGAGCAGATCATCCTAAATGCAAGCACACAACACCTGGATGGACAAGGGATCAGATTCAGCCAGCACGGGTTCTGTCTGACCAACCTGATCTGTTATGATCAGGTGACCTGCCTGGTGGATGAGGGGAAGACTGTGGATGTAGTCTATCCAGACTTCAGGAAAGTCTTTGACATGGTCTCCCATAGCATTCTCCTGAAAAAGCTTGCAGCCCACAACTGCGCTCTATGCTGGGTTAAGACCTGGCTGGAGGGCCAGGCCCAGAGAGTGGTGGTGAACGGTGCTGCATCCAGTTGGTGACCAGTCACTAGTGGTGTCCCCCAGGGATCAGTGTTGGGCCCAGTTCTATTTAATATCTTTATCGGTGATCTGGATGAAGGGATTGATAGTACCATTAGCAAATTTGCAAATGACACCATGTTGGGGGGAGTGTTGATCAGTTGGAAGGCAGGAGGGCTCTTCAGACAGACCTGGACAAGCTGGAGAGATGGTCTGATTCCAGCAGGATGATGTTCAACAAGGCCAAGTGCCAGGTCCTGCACTTTGGCCACAACAACCCCCTGCAGCGCTACAGACTGGGCACAGAGTGGTTGGGGAGCAGCCAGGCAGAAAGGGATCTGGGAGTTTGGATTGACAGGAGGCTGAACATGAGTCAGCAGTGTGCCCAGGTGGCCAAGAAGGCCAATGGTATCCTGGTCTGTATCAGAAACAGTGTGGTCAGCAGTACCAGGGAAGTGATTTTTCCCCTGTACTCAGCACTGGTGAGGCCACACATGGAGTATTGTGTCCAGTTCTGGGCCCCTCAGTTCAGGAAGGCTGACGTCCACCCAACAGGTCTCTTCTCACAGGCAACCAGTAGTAGGACAAAAGGGCATGGTCTTAAGTTCTGCCAGGGGAGGTTTAGGTGGAATATTAGGAAAAAGTTTTTTACAGAGAGGGTAATTAGACATTGGAATGGGTTGCCAAGAGAGGTGGTGGATTCACCGTCCCTGGAGATTATTAAGATGAGACTGGATGTGGCACTTACTGCGATGGTCTAGTAACCACGGGCGTTGAATCAAGGGTTGGACTTGATGATCTAAGAGGTCTTTTTCAATCTGATCGATTCTATGATTCTTCCCTTGCCCAGTGATGGAGTCACTCCATCATAGAAGGCTACTGGGTTGGTCAGGCAGAACTTGCCCTTGGTGAAGTCATGCTGGTTGTCCCAAATCTACTCCCTTTCCTCCATGTGCCTTAGCAGAGTTTCTAGGAAGATCTGTTCCATGATCTTCCCAGGAACAGAGGTAAGGCTTACAGGGTGGTAGTTCCCAGGGTCCTCCTTTCTACCCTTTTTAAAGGTGGATGAAATGTTTCAGTTTTTCCAGTCACCTGGGACTTCCCCTGACTGCCATGACTTTTCAGATATCATGGAGTGGCTTGGCAACTCCATCAACCAGTTCCCTCAGGACTCTGGGATGTTTCTCATCAGGTCTCATAGACTGATGTACATTCAGGTTCCTCATGTGGTCACAAGCCTGATCTTCACTTACAGTGGGAAGGACTGTGCTTCCCCAGTCCCTGTCCTGCTGTCCATCCACTCAAGAGGTGTGGGAAGAGAGGTTGCCATTGAATACTAAAACAGCATTGTTTATTGGGGAGTGTGAGGGGGATAATTTCTTCTGTGACCTTCCTTTTCTGACTGAAATACCTGTAGAAGCCCTTCCTGTTATTCTTTGTGTTCCTTGCCAGCTTATGCTTCAGCTTCCCCTTGGCCTTCCTGACCCCATGCCTACACAACCAATCTTCATCTCTATATTCTTCCCAGGTTACCTGTCCTAGTTTCCACTGCCTCTGCATTTCTTTCCTGCCCTTTAGTTTGACCAGCAGATCTTTACTCAGCCGTGCTGGTCTCTTGCCTTCCTTGCCTGATTTCTTGCTCCTGGGGATCACTTGCACTTTATGGAAGACTTTCTTAAAGATCTGCCAGCTCTGTTCTGTTCCCTTCTCCCTGAGGGCAGTTTCCCAGGAGGTCCTACTGACTAACTCCTAGAAGAGTTAGAAGATTGCTTTCCTAAAGTTCATGGTCCTAACTTTACTATTCCTCTCCATAACTTTACCAGTCACTGAAGTGAGACTGACAGGCCTGTAGTTTCCAAGGTCATCTTTCTTGCCCTTCTTGAAAATTTGGACAGCATTTGCCAGCTTCCAGTCAGCTGGGACCTCTCCAGATTCCCAAGACCATTCAAAAAATCATTGAGAGAGGTCTCACAATAACATCAGCAGCTCTTTGAGTATTCTTGGATGATTCCCATCAGGTCCCATAGACTTATGGGGATTCAGATGGATCAGCAGATCCCGCACAACTTCAGGGTCACCTGGGAGTCGATCATTCTTGCAGTCATGGTCCTCCAGCTCAGGGTACTGAGGCACCCTTAGCCTGTCATCAGTGTTGAAGACAGAGGCAAAGAATGAGTTAAACACCTCTGCCTTGTCTCTGTCCCTGTTTGTGAGGTGACCATCCTCATCCTGGAATGGGTCAATGTTATTTTTGCACTACCTTTTGCTACTGACATATTAAAAAACTCTTTTTATTGTCCTCCACAATACTGCCCAGCTTCAAGTCCAATTGAGCTTTGACAGCACAAATTTCCTCCCTACAGTGACAAGTAGCATCTCTTTATTCTTCCCATGTCACCTGACCTTGCTTCCACTGGCCATACACTTTCTTTTTTTGCCTTAGCTCCAGAAGAAGATCCCTGTTCAGCCAAGCTGGTCTTCTGCCTTGCCTGCTTGACTTCTGACATTTAGGAAGTGCTGCTCCTGTGCTCTTAGGAGGTGGTGCTTAAAAAGTGACCAGCACTGATGGGCCCCAGTACCTTCAAAAGTTTTTTCCCAGGGGACCTCACTCACTAGTTCCCTGAGCAACCTAAAGTCTGCTCTCCTCATATCCAGGGTTGAAGTTTTGCTGGCACTTTTCATCCTGCCATCAGAGATTTTAAACTCAATCACTTTGCAGTCTCTGTGGTCAAGATGTCCTCCAATCCCCATTTCCTTCATGAGACCTTTTCTGTTAACAAGCAACAAATTAAGGAGGGCACCTTTCCTAGTTGGCTCCCTTATTACCTGTACCATGAAGTTATCACCCAGGTGTTTTAACAATCTTCTGGACCTGTTTGTGCCAGTTGTGTGATATTCCCACTTAACATCCGGCAAGTTGAAGTCCCCCATAAGGACAAGGGCAGTTGATTTGGAAGTGTCCCTTAGTTCCTCAAAGAATAATTTGTCGGTATCATCATCCTGGCTAGGAGGTCTATAGCAGACTCTCATGGTGACATCTGCATTATTTCTTTGTCCATTACTCCTTACCCAGAGGCTCTCAACTGTGCCATTGCCAACTGTGAGCTCCAGACATTCCAGTCCCTCCATTGCATACAATACCACACTCCCCCCACCTCACCTGCCCTTCCTATACCTCCTGAAGAGACTGTAATCATATCATGGCACACTAGTCTTGAAGTATTTCAAGGTTGTACAATCACAGTCTCCAAGTCTCCAGAAGTCCTTGTTACTTCTCTGTTAGAAGTACACAAAAGCAGCCTGTACCCATACCTTTAGTAATTGCCTCACATTTCTATGCTATAAAAGAAAGTTTAGATGTTATCCTTCTTGTGATTTTTCTCTGAACTGGTGTCTAGTGCCATTCTTTTTGTTTTCCCAAACAAAAAAATAATTATTTTGCTAATTTTCTTTATCAAAGTTTGCAACTTCTTAATCAGACTTTCAAGGACGAATGAGAGTAGCGAGAAAAAGCTCGGTGTAAATACTTGATGTTTGTTCATCAGTGGAAAATTTATCAGCATAACCAATTTCTTATAGTCCAAATTATAGGCCAAAACCTCACTGTCAAGGATCACATATTCTAAGTAGCACTGATTATCCACATCTCTTCAATACATTTCTAAAATGCAAGATTAGAGGAAGTAAATATCTGGCAAGATTCTTGCAGCATCAAGAACTGGTCCTTTTGATCAGGGTTCATTAATTTCTTTAAGAAGGCAAAATGGTAGCATCATTAGTAACTATTTCAGTTGTGTGCTTTATCAATGAGAAAAGTAAAGCTAACAGGTAAATCAAAAAGCTCCTCTTTCACTTTTTTTAGCCTCTCGAATGCTGAAATGTTACAATCTGAATTGTACAATCAGATTGTTTTCAGAAATATTCTGAAGAGGTATCCCTTCAAAATGAGTTCCTAGACAACCAATTGCAACAGTAGCAACTTTAAACAGAAAAATAACTCAAATATTCTTCTAGATGAGTGGTAATCATATATTTAAGTGGAAGTAGCTTAGATTCACAATGTTGTTTAACTGATAAGATCAACAAACATTGATTTTGTGTACTGAGATAGATAAAGAAAAACAACCACATTTAGTCTTTGTCATTTACACAAGTCTCACAACAAGTCCTTTAGCACAAGACTTTCTAAAATACTGATGCTGCTGGCATGCTATACAACTACTTCTCACTTGCATTTCAGCCACATTTCTTCTGTTTACCACAGTATATGCCTGCAGAAGATGAACCACAGAGATCATTTATCAGTCACAGGATCATAGGATAATTCAGTTACTGTCTGTAGTGGTTTTCTGTGGCTGGGTTTTAGTAGTGGGGGACTACAGGAGTGGTTTTTGTTAGAAGCTGCTAGAAGCTTCCCCTGTCCCGTGAAGCCAATGCCATCTGGCTCCAGGATGGACTTCCTGCCACTGGCCAAGGCCAAGCCAATCAGGAGTAATAGTAAAGCCTCTGTGACAACATATTTAAGAACAGAAGGTTGTTGCCCAGAAGAATTCCAGCCAGGGAAGAGCAGAGTGAGAACATGGGAACAAGGTAGACACCAAGGTCAGTGCAGAAGGAGGGGGAGGAGGTGCTCCAGGCACCAGAGCTGTGGCCCCTGCAGCCTGTGGTAAAGACCATGGTGAAGCAGGCTGGCTCCTTGCAGCCCATGGAGGACCATCAGGGTGCAGAGATCCACCTGCAGCCCATGGAGGAGCCCATGCTGGAGCAGGTGGATGCATGAAGGAGGCTGTGACCCTGTGGAGGCCCAACATGGAGCAGGGTCCTGCCAGAGACCTGCAGCCCGTGGAGAGGGAAGCCCACGGTGGAGCAGGTTTTCCCCGGGTAGGACTTGTGGCCCCTCTATGGGACCCATGTCGGTACAACTCATCTGTGCAGGACTGCACCCCATGGAGGAGTGACCCACGGGACAGCAGATTGGGAAGAACTGTTGCCTGAGGGATGGACTCACACTGGAGAGGTCCATCAAGGACTGTCTCCCATGGGAAGGAGCAGGGGAAGGACTCCTCTCCCTGAGCAGCGGCAGAAACATCAACTGACCATAACCCCCATTCCCCGCCTGCTGCACCTCTGGCAGGGAGGAGGGATAACATGGAAGGAAGGAGGGGTGGGGGGAAGGTGTTTTTAAGACTGTTTTATTTCTCGCTCTTTGGCTCTTATCCTGTTAGTAATAAATTTAAGTACTATCCCCACTGTGAGTCTGTTTTGCCTGTGAAGGTAATCAGTAACTGATCTCTCCCAGCTCTTATCTCAACTCATGAATCCTTAGCTGGTTTTTTTCCTCTCTCCTCTGCCCAGCTGCAGAGGGAGAGTGAGAGAGCAGCTTTAGTGGGTACCTGGTATCTGGCGAGGGTCAACCCACTACAGTGTCCTAGTTACAGGGACTGGGACCAGTTTATCACTAAGTATAACCAAAACTGTGTATTCGACACCCTATATGTCATTTCTTACAGATTGTTAATAAATGCATTGTTTCCAGCAGTTGCCCAGGGCACACCTGACATCTCAGGCTACAAGCTGGGTGTTAAAGAAACCCGTTGAGACAGGGGAATGTTCTTTTGTTTTCACACCAATAACTCCTCTCCAGAAAGGCATTAACACCTTCACACCCAGCCTGAGGGTGTGAATCATCTCTGCTAATGGGCCACCTAGGACAGGCATAATAGGCAGTTGCAACACCTAGACCGTCAAAGATTCCAAAATTATCTCATGACTTACAGAGTTAAATCACCCATTGTGAAACTCCCTGTCCTGGGGGAGGTACTGGGCATTCCCACCTGAATTTGAGCATATATAAACTTTGGGTTTTGGGACTTCTGGTACCACTCACTGGATTAGAAGGAGGACCAGAATTTCAACAGGACTGCCCCTGCCGCTCTTGACAGGACTGCGATTATTACTTCAACAGGACTGCGACCATCATCTGGACCAACAGGTTTTCCTTTCTTTTTACTTTGCACCCCAGGGGCCACGTGGTGCTCAGCACAGGGGCTAACAAACACCATTCTGTTCTTGTCCCAGGGTGCTGGGTTATACATCTGTCTTTGGAGGTTAAAACCAGTTTTCCCTGTATCATTGTATTGTAATCTTCTTAGTAAATTGTAACTCTGACTTGTAATCTTTTGAGTTGGGTTCATTTCTCCCACCAGTTTACTTTTAAACCAGCACACTAAGGAACTTCAAGAGGCTTTTAGTTGATCTTCATGCTCAAAGCAGGGTGAGCAAAACAATCTGTCCTGATTCTGGCTAGGACAGGGTTAATTTTTGCAGTAGCTGGGAGGGGGTATGGTCAGGACCTGGAAGTTATTCTATACCACCTCTTGTCATTGCCAGGGGTGGGGGAAAGGGGTTCCTTCCACTGGAGAGAGCAGGAGGAGGGAGCTGTCCAGTATTGTCTACTGTTGGATGGTTTCCGTGTGAATTTCTTTTCTTATACTCAGTCATTAGTATTGTTGCTGTTACTGTTAATTTTCTTATCTCATTGCTGTTTTCAGTAAATTGTTCTTATCTCAACACATGATCTTTACCTTTTGTGCTTCATATTGTCCTCTCCAGCCTGTTGCAGGGGGAGGAGAAGGGGAAAATGGGGGAGCAAGGGAGTGGTATGTGGTTTGGAGTCTCAGTGAGGGCACTGAATTGGGGAGTACCATTCCTAAACCACAACACCATGTTATGCAGGGCTTTATCCAGACTGGTCTTGAAAACCTCCAAGGATGAAAAATGCACAGATTCTCTGGGTTTTTCCAATGCTTGACTGTCCTGATAGTGAAAAAGGTTTTCCTTCTACCTAGTCAGAACCTCCCATTTCAGTATAAGTCCTTTGTCTCTCATCCTTCCTTCACAACTGTGGAAAGCCTGACTCAAGTCTTCCTGATAATCTCCTCATAGGTATGACGAGACTGCTTTAAGGTCTGTCTGTCCACTGTATGTCATCCTGTCTGTGTCTCTGTCATCATCATCCCTGTCCCCCCTCAAAGACTTGTCTTATCCCAGCTGCACAAGCCCAATACCCTCACCTTCTCTGGAATCTCCCCCATCTCCTCTTCTCCCTCTCCACCTAACCTTACCACCCATAAAGACCTAATTTTTTTTCAGGGCTAAAGACAAGAAAACACTGTTGCATCTTTTTACTATTGCCATGTAAATACATAAACACTGAAAGCCTAGATTAGTAAGAATATGTCCAAACCCCTATCTTACTAAATCTCATCTATCTCAGCCATTGCTTCTTTGGGATTATATTAAAAACAACAGTATGCATTACATATTTTAGCATAAAAATTATTTTCTCATCTGGCTGACAGTTTACACTATTCCTTCTCCACAGCTAAGGTTTTCAGGCTTCATTTATGCTATGTATATTGTGTTCATTGAACTACTTTTAATTTCAAATTCATAAAATTTGATGATTGCAATCAAGACAAGCATTGCATGTTAAAACACTTTTGAGTTGGTTAAGAGTTCAATTCTTGTAGTGCTGCCTTTAAATTTTTTCTTATGTAGAGCAACTGAAATAATTCTTATATTTTAATCCTTATATTGGAAAGGATTTAAAATTATTCTGTCCTCCATGAATTTGAGCTTTGTTTTGAAGTATGATTAGTCAATTTTTGAAACTTCAAAAATTTTCTTCTGAATCAGGGCTCAAAATAATTTTGTATCCATAACTTAATGACATACAATTTAGTACTATTGGAATACAGAACTCATGAGAATTAACAAAACATCTCTTTAAACTCTCTGGTTTTTGAAATTAGGAAAAAAAATACATTGATATACATGACTGCTAGATTACCTTTAAGGGTTCCATCACTTCCAGCTGGAGAGCAGACTGCCTGTGGTGACCTCAAGGAAAAAGATGCAGCATTCTTTACTGAAGGATCGCCATCCTAAAGTGACAATGATAAAAAAAGCCCCAAAAACATTAGGAACATGAACATTTGATAAAATAAAGACTGAAATTAGTACATATACTGATAAAATTGATTGTATGAAAAAGCATACAAAAATATTAGAAAAATAGTTATTTATATAAATATTTTTGTAATTTAGACTGCTATTAGACTACTATATAGGCAATATTCCAGAAAACAATTAGCCTTAAGAATTTAGAACCTGAGTCCCCAGCACAGGAAGGACATCAACATGTTGGAGCAAGTCCAGAGGACGGTAATGAAGATGCTCAGAGGGATGGAGCAACTCTCCTATGAGGACAGAATTAGGACTGTTCAGCCTGGAGAAGGCACCAGGGAGACTTTAAAGGACTTTCCCGTACCTGAAGGGAGCCTACAAGAAAACTGGAGAGGGATTTTTGACAAGGACATGTAGTGACAGGACAAGAGAAAGTAGCTTTACACTCAAAGAAGATAGATTTAAATTGGATATTAGGAATAAATAAATCCTTCCCTCTAAAGGATGGTGAGGCCCTGGCACAGGTTGCCCAGAGAAACTGTGGATGCCCAATCCCTGGAAATGTCCAAGGTCAAGTTGAATAGGGCTTGGAGCAACCTGGTCTAGTGGAAGGTGTCCCTGCCCATGGCAGGGGGTTGGAATGACATGATCTATATGGTCCCTTCCAACCTAAACCATTCTGTGATTCTCAAGTTTCTCAAAAAATGGTCCTTAAATTGAGTATACATGCAGTGAGCCTTCAAGTCTATGCTTGCTGATTTAGTAGAATCAAATATTGTAAATATTGCAAATATTTTTAAATATATTGTAAAATTGTAAATATATTGTAGGTATTCATAATTTTCCTAATTTTTAAGAAACAAAATCCTAAAACTAAGAAAAAAACTAAACCCTAAAATTTTTAGTTTGATTTAATAATCTTTGTTCATAACTATCTCTGCCACTGGTCACACTGCTTCTAAAAAGGCTGCAACATAATGATTACCCTTATTATTCATACACAGATGCAAACTTCTTCATTACTCCAACTTCTTCAAACTGTTTTCTTAAGGATTGCTACTCAAATCAGTTTTTAAAGGTGTAATTAATTTTTACCCATAGTATTTATCCCATTAAACTGAACAATTATGATATGTTTTATCTTTTCATAGACAGTTTTGAATGAGTTTCATAGAATCATTAGGGTTGGAAAAGATCTTTGATATCATCAAGCCCAACTGTTAACCCAGCACCATCACTGTGTTTACCACTAAACCATGCCGTCAAGTGCCATATCCACATTTTTTTTTGAACAATTCCAGGGATGGTGACTACTTCCCTGGGCAGTCTGTTCCAATGCTTCACAATGCATTCCATTAAGAAAGCTTTCCTAATATATTATCTAAACCTCCTCTGACACAACTTGAGGCTTTTTCCTCTTGTTCTATTGTTACCTGGGAGAAGAGGCCAATCCCCATCTCACTATAACCTCCTTTCAGGTAGTTGTAGAGAGCAATATGGTCTCCCCTGAGCCTCCTTTTCTCCAGGCTAAACATCCCCAGCTCCCTCAGCTGCTCTGCACAGGACTTGTGCTCCAGACCCTTCCCCAGCTCTGTTGCCCTTCTCTGGACTTGTTCCAGCCCCTCCATGTCTTTCTTGTCATGAGGGGCTCAGAACTGGACACAGCACTCGAGGTGGGGCCTCACCAGTACCAAGTATGGGAGGACAATCACTTCCCTGGTCCTGCTGGCCCCACTATTTCTGATCCAAGCCAGGATGCCATTGACCTTCTTGCCCACCTGGGCACATGCTGGCTCATATTCAGTCAGTTGTTGACCAGCACCCCCAGGGCCTCCACTGGGTGGCTTTCCAGCCACTCTGCCCTCAGCCTGGAGCACTGCAGGGGGTTCTTGTGATGGAAGTGCAGAACTGGGCACTTGGTCTTGTTGAACCTCATACAATTGGCATCAGTCCATTGATCCAGCCTGTCCAAATCCCTCTGCAAAATCTTCCTGCCCTCCAGCAGATCAACACTTCTGCCCAACTTGTTGTCTGGAAACTTACTGAGGGTGCATTCAACCCCCTTATCCAGATCATTGATAAAGATATTAAACAGGACTGGCCCCAATACTGAGCCCTGGGGAACCCCACTGGTGAGTGACCGCCAGCTGGATGAAGCACCATTCCCCACCACTCTCTGGGCCCGACCATCCAGAGAGTTTTTTACCCATCAAATACTGCTACCAGTTTCTCCAGGAGAATGCTCTGGTAAGCTGTGTCAAAGGCTTTACTAAAGTCCACGTAAACAACATCCACAGCTTTTCCCTTATCTGCCAGGCAGGTCATCTTATCATAAAAGGAGATCAAGTTGGTCAAGCAGTAACTGCCTTTCCCAAACCCATGGTGGCTGGGCCTGATTCCCTGTTTGTCCTCCACGTATTGCATAATGGCACTCAAGATGATCTCCTCCATGACCTTCCTTAGCATCCTGGTCAGGCTGACAGGCCTGTAGTTTCCCAGATCCTCCTTCTGACCCTTGTTATAGATGAGTGTCACATTTGCCAACTTCCAGGACCTGGGACCTCCACAGTTGACCAGGACTGCTGGTAAATGATTGGAAGTGCCTTCGTGAGATCTTCCACCAGCTTCCTCAGTACTCTTAGGTGGATCACATCCAGGTCAATGGACGTGTAGGGGTCTAAGTGGCATAGCAGGTCACTGACCATTCCCTCCTGGATTATGGGGGCTTATTTCTGCTCCTTGCCCTTCAGGTCTGCCTCCCAAGGAACTCTCTCAACCAGTCTCCTAAATAGGTCAATCTGCCCTCTGGAAATCCAAGGTGGCAGTTCTGCTGACTTGCCTGAGAATCAAAAACTATCATTACATGATTGCTGTGCCCAAGATGGCCACCAACCATCACATCACCCACCAGACCTTCTCTGTTTGCAAACTGCAGGTCCAGCAGGGCACCTCCCCTGGTTGGTCCACTCAACAGCTGTCAGGGAGTTCTTCCACACACTCCAGAAACCTCTTGGGCTATTTCCTCTCTGCTGTGTTGTATTTATAGAAGACATCTGGTAAGTTCAAGTTCCCCTCAAGAACAAGGACCAGTGATTGCAAGACTTCTCCCAGTTGCTTATAGAATATTTCATTTGCCTCTTCATCCTGGTTGGATGGTCTATAACAGACTACCACCAGGAAATCTGCCTTATTGGCCTTCCCCCTGTTTCTTACCCAAAAGCACTTGATTTTATCATCACCATCATTAAGCTCCAGACAATTGAGACACTCCCTAACACACAGGGCTACCCCATCACCTCTCCTTCCTTGCTGATCCCTTCAAAGAGTTTATAGTCATTCATTGCAGCATTACAGTGATGCGAGTCATGCCACCATGTTTCCATGATGTAATAGTTTTCCTGCTGCACATTGGCTTTCCAGTTTCTCCTGTTCATTGCCCATGCTGCATGCATTGGTGTACATGCACTTCAGTTGCATTTGCTGATGATACAAAACTGGGGGGAGTAGCTGATACACCTGAAGGCTGTGCTGCCATTCAGCAGGACCTTGATAGGTTGGAGAATTAGGCAGAGAGAAACCTAATGAGGTTCAACAAGGGCAAGTGTAGGGTCCTGCACCTGGGGAGGAA